CCCTGAAAAATATAAATGTCTGCAGTAATTACACTTCTCTGTTCTGGCTCACTCGGTTAGTTTTGCTTTGTTACCATTCAAGATTCATTTTAGAACTGAAAAATGATAGTTTTACGAATCTGGATTTTGTTATAAAACATCTTTTCATTTAGGGTAATAAAGTTGAACTTCACAACATTAGTCGTAAATATTTTTTAATCAATAAGATAAAATGCAATTAAACAAAGAAACAAGCAAGCAACCAAATATGGTTACTCATGCCAGCATATAATTTTTACTACTTAGCAAGATACAGAGAAGAAAGAAATCACTGCTCACACTTATGCAACTATCAATGTTACCAAGACAAGCAAGTCATCTGCCACTCCTGGTAATGCAGTTAACTCACTGTCCCTTTCATTCAGTTTTTAAACTGTCATTGCCTCCCATCTTTCTAAGCATTAGCAACTCTTTCCTTGTCATCTATTCCACATCAGTAATTATGATACTAAAAAGGCAATAGATTATCTTATAAAGTAGAATTTTGCTCTAAATTTTGTGTGTGATTTTACTGTAAAAGATTAAGCTTCTGAGAGAACACTCTTGTTGCAAAATATTTTTCAAACAACATAGAAACGTTAAAGATTAACAGTTAAATGAAATTAACACTTTACTTTAAAAAGCAAAATCTCCCTACAACCTCATATCCAGGAGGTCACCGTGGTTATGTGTCTGGAGTTCATTCATCCCAATTTTTCAATACGGATAAACAGACAGAGCAATAGATAAATAGTGTAACACTATTTTGCCACTTGCTTTTTTCATTTAACAAAGATGTATCCTGTGTCAGCCAAACTCTTAATCAAATTATTCAGTCTGATAATGTAAAACTATTGCAAGTTCACTTTCGTTAATGATAGAGCTATCCTAAAAAGTCTACAATAATGAGGACTTTGTGGGAAAGGAATCCTCTGGACTCTGGGCTTGTCTAGCACAAATGAACCCTTTACATCAGTGTTTCCAATGCCACATCAAATCAGAATGAAAAGTTATGATTTTCTTAAAACCAAATATTTTGGTTCATACCTTGGAAACCTTCATTCTTCATTTGAACAGCCTTCTGGTTGGGGGCAGGCCCAAAGGGATTAAGTCTCGCCTAACTATTCCATCCTAAATTAGTCATCCAAAAGCATCCCACCCTGTTCCAGCCTTCTGAAGCCCCTATCTGCTACTAGTGTTGCACTAACTCTGGAAAATCAGAAAAACCTCAAACCCAACATGCCACTCTAAAATCATTCTCTCCTCCTCAAGCTTGTCTCGCTTGGCGAAATTACCATTCTTACCCTCTGCGCGTTCCCTTCCCCCCACCTGCCCAACCCATCAGTCATTAAATTCTGCCCATAGTACTTCACATCAGTTCCCAAAGCTGGCTTCTCCTGATTCCTCGCTGCACTGCTGTGGTCCAAACCCTCAGCACCCGAACTTCGGTAACAGGCAGGGTATATACAGGGAAGGGGGTTATGAGCTATGGGAGCAAACGAGTCAGAGTTGGAATCCCTTCTTTGCCTCTTCTGTGTTTGTGTGTATCCTTGGAAACGTTACTTACCTTGCGTGCTTGATCCTTTGTAAAAAAGAAATATTTACCTTAACTTGTAAAAGCCAACTTAATATAAAGTATCTAGAACCGAAGCTAGCAGTACAAGGCTGGTCTTCATTAAATGTCTTTTTCCTTCCTTGATCTCGCCCCACACTAGACTACTGTGTACATGGTAACAAAACTGTGCCTCCAAATAACAAGCCCAATCAGATGGCTCATCTGCGGAAAGACACCCACTGATTTCCTATCGCCTCAGGCTGAAATCTGAACATTTTCACCTAGGATAGCTCTTTCGCAACCTGGTCCAAATGACCTTACCAGCTTCAACTTAGAGCAGGAAGTTAGGAAGCTCCTCTATGCCACGGTGGTCATCTTTTCTCCTCTAGCACCCCAACACATGGCCAAGCCCATGGATATACTCATTAGAAGTGTGCTAGGTGGGTGGATGCGCGCACAGAGAGATGGACAAATATGTGAACACATGAATGAATGAATGTATAGGAAGACAAAATTTAAATACCTCCTCCTCATATTCTGAAATACCTAATGAATCTGAATTTGCAAGCTTTCATAAAAGCTGGTCATTTGTTTGGAGGCATCATTCCTGTCTCCCAACGGCTCTGGCTTAAATCTAGAGAAAAATCTTTCCACTGTAGACAGTATGTGATTCAACTTAGATTATAAATGAGTCTGTGCTAGGATGGAATGATTCTACAAACATTTACTGAGCAGCTGGCAAGTGCTAAGCACACTGCAGGCAGTCTGAAACCTCTTAAAGAATGCACGCAAGTAATATGGGAGCACAGAGGTTATTAAAGAACTAACTAGAAAAAGGGAGTGTGGTGTCATGATTATCAAGGTTGTCCAGGGGGTTGTGTTGGGGCCCAGGGAAGGCCTCACACAGGAAGAGGAGCCCTAGCTGTTTTGAAGATTGAGTATGAATGTAAGTAGGTCATTTAAACTGGGGTGAAGCAGAAAAGTAGGGTTTTCTAAGTAGAAAAAAAAAAAGCATGTCAAAGATAAAGAAACGAGAGGGCCTGCAACAAGAGTTTTGCAACTAGTTCATTATAGTTGTAGTTTGGAGAATATGTGGCTAAGAAATATATTTCAAAATAAAGTGGAAAAAGAAATCAGGTTGGAGAATTTGTAGAAACAAAAATGGAAGGATAGTATAAGGCGGGAAACTCTCCAGGTGATCTCATTCATTCCTGTAGCCTAAATACTACCTACATGCACATGACTATTAAACTTCTACCTCCAGTCCTGATACCTCTTCCAAGCTCCAACTCACCTATTTTACACCTCATAGTTATCTCCTAAACTGAACTCTTTATTTTTTAAAATATGTCTTCACTGATTTCAGAGAGGAAGGGAGAGAGGGAGAAACATCAATGATGAGTCATTGATCGGCTGCCTCCTGCACGCCCCCTACGGGGGATGGAGCCCACAGCCCGGGCATGTGCCCTGACCAGGAATTGAACTGCAATCTCCTGGATCATAGGTCGATGCTCATCCGCTGAGCCACGCTGGCCGGGCTAAACAGAACTCTTTAACCTCTCTACCCAAAGCTGTAATTTCTAGAGGGATCTATGTATCTCCATCCACCTGGTTGGTAGTCTCCATTTCTAGTTAACTGACAAGCCCTGTCAATACCACGAGATTAGACAGTCGTCCACCATCTTTCATTAGACCATAGCAATGTTTTCTCGCCCACTATGATCCCCTCCAATCCATTCTCCACTGTGCAATAATCTCAAAATAGTGGTTCTCAAACTATAGTCCACTGGTCACCTGAGGTGCTTGGTTAAAAAAAAGGAAAGTTCTCAGTCCAGACAACTGAAATAGAATATTTGGGGAAGTCCTCTGAGTCCAGCAGTCAGTGCTTTAATAAGCTCCATTTCCATTGCTTTTTGCCATTAACATTTAAGAATTACCAATATGTGGGGCAGAGGAGCCTAGAGATTAAGAGTAGATACCTTGAGTCAAAATGCCTAGGTCTGAATTCTAGCTGTGTATCCTTGGGCAAATAACTTTTCTGTTCTTCTGTCTCCTCATTTGGACAATAGTGAACTAGCTCTTGGGTTGCTGTGAAAATCAAATGAGTTAAAACATAAGTGGTAGTTTTTATTGCTTCTTACCAATATTTCCGGTTCTCTTCTGTTTCCAAGTACATGGGGATATTGTACTTCTCCACCACTATGAGATTAAATGTGCTCATGCGATTTACTCAGAGCAATGAAATGTGAATGGAAGTAATGTGTGTCACTTCTGAAGGAAGCTGGAGATGATTCTCCATGTTCTCTCTTCTCTTCTCATGGCAATCATGAAAGTACATGTTGATATGGAAGGGTCCTAGACAGCAGCAGTGTGGAACAGTGAGCCAAGACATAGAGGACAGCTGGCCTGCTCTCTTGTATGAGCAAGAAACAGAGATATCATGTGCTAAGCTCTTGAGATGTTAGGGTTTGTTGTTACTGCAGCATAGTGTAGCCCAACCTCACTGGTACAACTTTAAAGCCCTTGGAGTAGGCCCAGCTGATAGAAACTGCTGAACGACAGGTTCAGAAGAGAAGTTCAACAATGTGGCTCACTGGAAGAGCAATCTTCCCTTCACTAACTTAAAACATACACCAGATCATGTCACTCCTCTGCTGAAAATCTATCAAATGCTTCTCATGAGACTTAAAATCTAAATCACTAACTTGGTGCACACAGCCCTGCTGGCTTGGGTCTCCAGCTTTATCTTGTTCGCTCTCCCATTCACTCTCCTGCCACGTTAACTTCTCTGTTCCTTGAATGTGACAAGCACTTTCCTGATAAAAGGCCTTTGCATGTGACAAGATCTGAGATTGAACTTCTCTCCCACACCTTTTCTCATCTTCATGTGTGAACTTAAATGTCAGGCCCTCAGAGAAGTCTTCCCTGTCTGCCCAATGGAAGCGGATGGTCCTTTGTGCCTCTTCAAAGCCCTGTTTCAGCACCTTTCCTCTGTCTTTCATACTATTCATCACAATTTGAAATTAATTTTGCTTATTTGTTCACTCATTTCCTGTCTTTCTTCAGCTAGAGAGGAAGCTCCATAAAGTCAAGCCACAGCTCTCTTATTCGTGGTTTTATCCTCAGAACTAAAACAGTTCCTGGAATACAGCAAGATTAGTTATGGAAGGTTGGGGTGGGTTGGGTCAGGGGAGGTGGAAAAGAAGGAGGGAGAGTTGCCCTGGAACTAAATGGAAGCCCATCTGAATACACAATACTACCTTAAAATAATGATTCCCCAAATAAATTGAGTTCCTAATAAAAGTGATGAAAGTTCTTAAGATTATTGTCTTTTTTTATGAAATGATACTTTCAGATATGGTATAAACTATAAATTAAGATATAAAAGTATATTTCTGCTAAAATAGGTAAGTCAATAAAAACGCAATTCAAAATCAGATTTTATTACACAGAAATGTACTATAAACACAAAAGTCCTGAATCTGAGTTACACCTTTTATTCTGAACATTTCACTCAATAAAAATCTGATATATTGGGTCCAAGTGATGACACATTCCAAACTAATGAAACTTTCCTGTAGCTTAAATAAACAAACTCAGATCACCAAGTAAAATCAAAGCCAAGTATATCTGCACAACTGAAGAATGATTCGAATGAATTAAAACTTCTAATGGTTTATACTTCATTTATAACAAACTTTGAGGGTCTTTTGAGTGACACCTTATTAGACTGAATTTCCAAGAACCAAATACTAAAACATACAGAATATACTCTCTCTACTCACTTGTTAAAAGACTAAGAAATCTAAGCTACAAAGGTATGAGGTGACTGATGACACACCCCAGTCATTTAAGGAGGAGTTCTCTCACGTGATTCTGGGTCAGGCCATCCTGATGAACCTTGGGCGAGTTTTCCTCTTCACCACTCCTGCTATCTACACTTGGAGTCATAACACCGTAACTAAAAGGGGACAGCAGTTGGTATCTGCTCACTGTCATCTCTCATTCCTGCAAACATGCCAAAAAGCGCTTTGCCTGGACCCCCAAAGGCACACAAGTAGACCCTGGAAGAATCCAGCTTCTGGTGATAACTGACCCCATCTCTACTATTTAAAATAAGCTGTTACTAGACAGATGTTACAGGAAAAAAGAGCATACATTAAGATTATGGTTCTCTTTCACTTCTATTTTCAACAGTAAATAATAGAACCCAAATCTTTCTCATATATCTAGATTTTTCCTTTGTGAACAAAAGATGAATTAGAGTTTAGGGGTTAGAGTCTATTAGTGTCAACCTCATTTCTTCTCTGCCTTCTGGAGTTTTTCAGGCTTTCTTTTTTTTAAAAAAAATACCAGAAGATATATGGCTCTTCAGTCAACCATTCATCAACATTTATTTACCATCGGTCTTGCATTTTCACTGCCATTGCTGTTTGGTGGGTTATAAATGAATGATAAAATTCAAGTCAACTGCTTCTTCTGTTAAGCTTTAGACTACACTTGAATGAATGAATGAATGAATGAATGAATGAATGAATGAATGAATGAATGAATGTTTGAATGCCTGTCTGAAGGAAGCCAGCTCTTCTTTTTCTGGTTAAAACTCAGCTAAGTTTAAGGTGACTTTTAGAAATGCAGTAAAAAGAGTCCACACACATTGTTTTACATTTTTATTTGCTTACAAAAGAGAATGGAAACAGATTTGCAAAAACTTATCTGCATGTACAAAGTAAGCCATGTAGAGAAGGAGGGCAATCCTTGGAGTACCACGGGATAAGTAGTCCATCAAAACTAGATCTGTTTGCATCAGAACTGGTGAAAAGTCATTATTGTACATGTCAAAAACCACTGCAAAACTAAATCTAATTTTAATAGCACCAAATTCAGAAAGGTTCTGTTGTAATGTATGTCCTTGGACAGCAGTGAAACCAGCTACCAAGTAATCTCAGAGTTGGACACATCAATTGAGCAAGAGGTAGTTTCTCCAATAATATCCCTTTTTCTTTTCATCAAGGCCACAGGGGACACAGATAAATGGCATAATCTCAGAATCTCTTTAAATTCCTGTTCTGCTAGGACCCCTTTCCCTTAAAAACAATCATATCTGTCTTGTTGCATTTTAGGACTTGAGATCATCAAACATAGAAAAGTTTCCATAGTTCAATTTTTTTGGGCCAATTTTCCTCTGAGCACTCTTCTGTGGAAAAACCAATAATCTGGCATGTCATTAAAACAGCAAAGAAAAATCAATCCTATGGTATCATAGATTAAGGGGATTTTTTTAATATAATTTTTTGTCAATAATAACAATATCCAAGGAGGAGATTTAGGCTGATGAAACAAGCCCTTAAAAGGTAATATACAAACCACATAATGACATTGTTCTTGAATAAGGTCTCTTAAGAGTTCTTGCAGTTGGTCTTCAATTTCTCGTGAGGCTATCAGATCCCAGAGCCCCACAATTCCATTGCTTCCAGCTCGTCTTGGACAGGAGTGAATTCCGGCTGATCAGGATGGGGAGCTAGAGAGGAAGAGTGGGGGTGGGGACTTGATAGGACCCAGAAACCATAAGTTGATATTCTCCCCTCACATGGGTCCACAGAGACATAGATTTGATCATTAAACTACAGAGATATCCTGCTTGGGTAGAAAGCAGTAGCTACCTTTACCCACCACACTGCTTGTTCCTTCCCCAGGAGGTTTCACAGGGTTAGTAAAAGAAGGAAGGGACAGATACATTACAGACATTGTTAGAAAACCAGAGTCACAGCCAACTGATTAAATATTATGTGTTTTATTTACAAACGGAACCCTGAAAACTCAGCAGAATTATGAAAAATAAATTTTAAAAACCGATCACATGTTAAAAGACCATCACCAGGGGGGCGTAAGGGGGGGAGGTGATCAGAGGAAGAATAGAGAGTGGGTGGTCAAGAAGAAAGATGCCCATCAATCTTGTGTGGGGACAGTATAGAGGAGAAGGCACATAGAAGTACTTGTTACTGAGCCTTCACACGGGAGTTTGGGATACATTTTTGGTACACAGTCATATACCTATATCTGAACTGATATGGAACAGTCTGTTTCTATTACATTTGACACATGTGATTTGGTTAAATTCCGGTATTGACATTGTGTGTGTTGGGAGCAAGAAGGGCAAAAGATGTGGCAGTGGGCAGATAGGGAAGCAGGTGAGGCAGGGAAGCAGAGTGCCCACTGTTAGGGGCAGGGGCAGGGGCAGGGGCTGGGTGGTGGTGGTCAACAGGACAGTTCTGTATCCATAGCCAGTTTCCCAGGCCAATGTCATCAGAGTGGAGGAGTTCCACTTCAGTGCTGGTAATCATTGTAAGGGATCAGATCTTAACAAAGGACAGAGAGATTCGAGAAAACAGGGAGGGAAGAGATGAACAGAGAAAAACACATCAGCAAAACTCTGACCACTTCCTCTGGCAAATAAGGTTAAATTTTTCCTAAAGCAGAAAATTTAAATTTATTGACTAATAAGCTCATTGCCTCAAAGCAGTCTCTGAATCTTTCTCTTGATGTTTCCAAGAATGACTATGTTAGAAAATGTCTCATTGCACAATCGGCCAGCATGCAGACTGCAGATGTTTTTAGGGAGCATAGTCTTTTCAGAATCTCAGTCCAGTGGTTAGAAATGAGACAAGGGACAGCCTGGCCACTTTTGTTTCTTCTTAAAATTATGCATGTGGTGGGCAGGATGCCACCCCAAAGAATCTAGGGGACCCCAGTTATGGGAAAGTTCTAAGTTTGACGTTTCCCCCAAACAGGAGTAAATTTTACAGGACATCATGGCCACACCACAGCAGTAGCATAGAATGAGGGGCCCAAAAGAATATCCGGAACATGTCCCCCAATGACTGCATATGAGATCAGAGGCCAAGTCTGTGAATTGACATTTGGAAGCAAGGAAGACTTAGATGTGCTGTTATTGTGAACTTCCCCTTCCAGTTTTTAAACGGGCAACCTCTAGAGTAATCTGCATTTCATAGAAGATGCCTCTGGAAGTTCAAACCCTGCTTCCCTTGCATATTCCGCCTACTTTTCATAGCACCCCTTCACCGTTATTGTATGAATTATAGTAAAACATTGCTTAAAGCCCACAAGAGGCTGGCACTTACCTCCCACTCCATAGGCAGAACACGAAGAGGGGTCGCAGTATCCAGGCTGGCCAGGAGGACCTTGTGGTCCAGGCACCCCCAGGTGACCTGGTTGACCCCTTGGTCCAGGAGAGCCAGGGGGCCCCGGGCTTCCTGGCCGACTCTCCCCGGCAGGTCCTGAAAAGCAGCCACAATGAAACCAGTAGGTCTTTTACCACCACAGGGTGAGTTTTGAGACCACCAAGTAAACTAACTCTTACGAGAAGCAACCTTACACATCTCGACAATTAGGGCGATCTGCCTCTCCTGACTCATTGATTTCTTCCAAAATTGCATTCACTGGAAAGAGGGTCATACTGGAATCACACGTTTTCCTGGAGGGTAACGCTTTTAATCAGCTCGGAAAACTGGAAAACAACATCTATTCTTTTCTTTCACCTCTTGGCTATTAGAGGAGAAGGAACCATAGCACTCTCAATCTTGTTTTCTTGTATGGAGCCTCAGTTTCCCAGTATGAATCTAATGTATGGGCGCACAGGTGCGTGCGCGCACGAACACACTCAGTCGCAACCTCATCATCTGTACTGATTTATGGCTCCAGATAATTGAAAAAATTAGTCTGGATCTGAAAAAAATTATCCTGCTTGAGAACAAGAAAAAGTCTAAGATTGTACCCGTCATCCTAATCCAAAAGTTCTTCAGGCTAGTTTATATCAACTGAGAACTTAGATTGTGTGAAAATGGGGATTAAAATTTCTGTGAATTTAAAATGATTGTTAGGCTGTTTTTTTTGTTTTGTTTCTTTATTTTGTTTTTAATGTTTGTTGGTTTTTAGGTGTAGATTCCAAAAGTATTTAAGAGCCATTCTTCAATCAGAAATTAAATTCTTTAACTAGAACTGAAATGTAAATTAGAATCACATTTGAAAAGTGTAGTGGCTCTCAGATATATTCAGTTTCATGTCATCAACATCCACTAAGTGTCCACTCTGGGTAACTCATGATGCTGGACCAGCAACAGGAGTATTTGCACTCCAAATCAATCTATTGCAGTAGAAATCTCTCCTAAAAAAGTGCTTTCCAAAATAATTATTAGGATGGAAAGAAAAGTCTACAAAGCATTTACTTTGATGTGGCTAAGACTGGAAAATATCCAATAGAATTGCAAACTTAGAATTCTAATAATGTATATGATCATCTGAAGACAATTATAAAAGCACCTAGTAATGGACATAAAACTCAAAACTTTATACAAAACTTACTCAGTGAGACTATCATGGTGGCAGAAACTATCAGTGCCCATCAAATATCCATGTGTTCCTCTAGATCTCAAGCGTCCTCTGCAGGTCAGTTGGAGCTATGCGACTAGTTCCAGCCAGTGAAATACGACAAGTGACTTATGTCATTCCGCATTTAGGAATTTGAGACCTGATCTGCCTCCTCTGTCTTTCTCCTGGAGCCTTTTGTTCCAAATGGGGGGAACCACCTTACATCAAGTTTTGTATAATGAGCATGATATAAATCTCTATGCTGTCAATCCACTAAGCATTTGTTACTGCAGCAACGCCTAGCCTATCCTAACTCAGGCAACCAATAAGATCCCAGAATATGCTGTTAGTTTGGCCTCCTAACAAAATGAATGATACAGTCATTCCAGTTAGATACAAGGACATAATATGGCCATTTCCCTCACTTTTATATCCAGTGAATATAAAGATTTAAGATTTTCATTTGCAATTTTCTATTAGGTAGGAATATTTACCTGCTGGCCCAGGGGGTCCTCTGGGACCTTGGCTTCCGATGCCTGGATTTCCTTTTTCTCCCTTGATACCAGTTAGACCTGTTTATATTTAAAAAGGAAAAAGAAAGAAAATAAAAAGTTCTCTTTAAAATGAAATCTGGGTAGTCCACTGTATTGGCTTTCAAAAGTACCTCCTAATGAAGACAGTGATGTGGGCTGGCCTGGGCTACAGTTACCATGGGACTTTAAAATTAAATTCTGACACTGGCGACTTTTGCACAACCACAGAGAAGCCTGGTTCTGTTTCTGAGTATGCAGCCTATATCTGCAACACTGCAAGGTTATCTTCCCCCTTCGTACTGAAGGGGTTCAGCCTGCCAGGAACTGGCCCCTGGCTTCGCACGCACCAGGCCATTTGATGCATGCAGTTGGCACTCCACAAATAACACAATGGAAGTCACAAGTGAACATGTCTAACATTTTCCTTTTGGTCCACCCTGTAATGTATCTGCAAAAGGCATGAATTATAATTAGGCAGCAAAGTTCTGAAGAGCGCGAGTTTCCATTAAAAACTTGGACGCTGCAGGAAAGCCTGTGTTTGATTTGGCTGACTCAGCCCCATAAAAGTCTAAACCTATTCATGTGTCTTTTCCACAGAACAGACTTCTTAGTCCAAATAATTTATAGTGTTATTAACAAACTATACATTTTCACCGGCAAAAAACAAAGGAACATACGCTCTGACACCTCACTGTCTAACAGGTTCTATCACAAGACCGTTGGACAGGTGAGAGCATGCTGCATTCAGGCCCAACCAGTCCAAGAGCATTGCATCAGGCTGGGGTCTGGGCTACCCTGACTCACATCACAGAAGATCCCTAGTGTCTATTTCTCATGTGCAACAATTCTTTGAAATGGCCAACTGTGAAACTACATCTCTATGTAATGACACTTAACAGAGAAATTGTGGGCCAAGAAGGGAACATAAATAAATGAAAATAGCCAATCTGATAGGTGGCAGGCATGCGAGTGATTTAAAATGTTCAGGATTACAAACAACTTTTTTTCCCTTACTAAATGCAGCACATCTTCACTGTAGACAAATTAGAAGACACAATAAGCAAGAGCCCCTGCCCTTGAAAATAATCACTTTTAACAACATCTTGGTTTATAACTTTCAGAAAGAAAGGCATTCATATAGTATTGGCTCTAGAAATAGTTGACCAAAAAAAAAAAAAAGACTCATGAGCCACTAATAGTTTTCTACACTTATGTGTAATCATAACCACTACACATGACTGTCCCTTGATTGGAAGCTTTGGTGATTGCTGTGTTCCTTGTGACCAACTCTTGGGACCAAGGCATCCTGGCATCTTTAAAAAAGCCCTCTTCCATGCTATCGGTCCTCAGGGCTACTCCACCCACTGCTCTGCTTCCCCAACACCCATACCTATTGCACGAGGCCTTTGTGGTGTTTTCTGAGCTCAAAAAAGACAGCACAGCAGAAGAGGGCAGGGCACTGAACTCAGAGCTTATGATCTCCTGTTTCTGGCCTAATTCTTCTCTTAGGAACTGATAAGGAAGAGAGTGATTTCTCAAAAGAAAAATACCATTGAATGTGTTTAAAAAGCACTTGACTTACTCAAACTAGTCATCATTTAATGTTCAATTGCTAATCAAATTGTTCAGACAGAAAACCACCCTGAGTATACATCTGCTGGGTATTACCCAATTAACTAAACTAGTAGCTAATCGGTTAATCATTGGAGTGAGCGCTTTTTAGCTAGTGGTGCTCCCTCACTTGTGAACGAGTGTGCCCTGCCTTGCATCTGGGAATTTAGCAGGAACTGCCTCGTCTGTTAGAATTGGAGCCACTTTCCCCACAGGAAACCACGAATTTTTAAAGAATTAGAACACAATAAAACACACCAATGACTAATGCAGGCTGCTCATGATTAACTGCAGGGTGACTCAGAGGCCTGCCATGACCTTCCAGTTCTCAAGGACCAACGTTAACAATGTGGCTTCTCAGTGACTCTCCACAGTAGACGATGCAGGAGCTTGGGCTGAAGAGGACACCCAGGGAAGTACTCTCAGGAGTAACCCCTGACAAGAGTTCCCTGACTTATCCTTTGCTCACCCAAAAAGAAAGCAAAGGGTGGGGAAGATTGAGGAGTAGAAAGTCTAGTTGTTTTAATTTTCTATGGCATGTAGATCTAAAAAAACAAGTGGAATTTGTATTATCTATAATGCAAGAGAGGAAGAGCCTCATGAAAATATTCCAGCCCCTCAAAATGCCCTAAAAATACATTCTAAGGGTACAATTCTATATCATCAGAGAATTTTAGATTTTATTATCCTTGAAGTTATGATCCAACTAGATGTAGACTAATATATAAATATCTGTCCCTTTTTCCCCTTGCGGTTCTGACACTGAAGGAATATCCATATCCATGATCACTGAACTTGGTTATCTTTTTGGGGGATAAAAAAAAACATGTTTAAAATTTAAGTACCTAAGATGAGGACTGAAATTACAGGCTAAGTGCACAGACTGCCGATCTCTAAAAACAGATATGGATATATTTTGATAAGCCTTGTAGGCCTTGATTAAAGGGAGGGAAATCAAATATCCTAAAATGTCAGCTTGTGACTGTGCATGAGGTGATAGAAGACAGTGGAGTCTGGGCACAGTTATTCTTTACAGTCAACATGTAGTCATCACCCATAAGGCCTTCATCTCTTTGTGAGGACCCAAGATGGGGCCACCGGGTGCTGAGATGGAGTCACCAGAGCTAAGTGCCAGCATCCTTTCCACAAGGCACCGGGACTCCCAAGGGCATGGGCGTTCCCTCCTTCTGACATGCCCTTCTCACCTTGGCTGTCTTCACAACTACTGCTCATGCTTCAAGACCCAACTCAAAGCTTCTCCACAACCATAACAGGCAGGAGCATTAGGAAGTCAAGCAGACAAGAATTATCTGTCTTACTCATGGCTATATCCCCAACACTTCTCTGGAGCCTCCCACATAGTACATAACTAACAAATATATAGTGAGTGAACAAACGGACAGATGACTGAATGAGTTCTTTGCTTCCATATTATCAGCACCTCCTTTGGCACTTATCTCATTGCATTGCTTGTTCTCATGTTCATCTAGTCTGAAATTATGAGCCTGTTGACTGCAGGGATAATCCCCTTTTTATTACTCTAGTGTCAGATCCAAGCAGAGTCTCACGCACAGTAAGGAGATGCCTATAAAACACTGGAAGGCTAACTGAATGACTGAATATTAATATGAGCATGTGGCTGACTGTTAAATGCAAGCATGACCTTGAAGGGTCAACCAACAAAATTCCTTAGGCTGGAGCTTCCTTTTACTTTTACATGCCCAGCTTATGTGAACACTGCTTTTTCTAACGAGTTCCTTGCATGGCAATATGAACTACTAGTGCCTCTTAGAGATGGGTATCATTGACTCCAGTTAAGTTTCACTATCTGCCATTTTTAAAAACGAGCATAGCTCATATAAAAGATCTTTTTTTATCAAAATATGATTTAGCTAATATCCTTAGTTTTCTGTGTTTACCAAAAGTATTTAGCATAATCAGAAAGTCTTTTCTATTATGCATCCATTCCTTTTTCCCCCCCTTTTTACGACAACTTTTAAGATCTATTTTTTAGATTTCACTCTCATTAAAATCTTAATATCGCATGTACTCTTATTTCTTCTTTTAAAACTTTAAAAAATAGATTTTACTTTTTTAGAACTTTAGTTCACAGAAATATTAAGTGGAAAGCACAGAGAGTTCCCATTCGCCCCCTGCCCCTACACTTGCATAGCCTCCCATTATCAACATGTGCCACCAAAGTCGTAAGTTAGCCATGTCCAGTCTTCCTTAAGAGTCTCATTAGAAATGATCACAGGGCTACCTGATTCTCCCTACCCACTAACCTAACACCCGCTAACATTTTCTTCCACTGGTCTACTAAGTGAGAGACTGTTTGTTTGAGTTCTTCATTGTATTCCCAGTTTCAGGCATATATTAGGCACTCAAATATCTGTCAAACAAGTGGTGAATGAATGAAACATAAAGTCCAAGTGTAGACCTTGACAAACCAAAGATGTGGTTAGTTGGTGTATCAGCTGTGCTTCTAGGTGACCTTATTAAGTGTTGAATGCTAGATGCTGTATGTATGAACTTATTTAGTCTTTGCAAAAAGCAAGAAGACAGGCACTAAATTAACCCTAAAAGAAGGCTGTGATACGGAGAGGTTAAGTTGAGCTAGTAAGTAACAGAGCCAGGATTTCAACCCAGCAGGTCAGTGCTGAAGTCTGGGCGCATAACCACTGCGTTCCCTGCCTCTCTCCACTCCGAGCTGGCTCGCCAGGTGGTGTTTCTAGGCTTGTTGGCTGTAGTGGCTTCCTGAACTGCCTGCTGAAACAGTCTGCACATTTTCTCTGGCCCAAAATCAGCCCTGTGGTCATCACATTTCATCAGCATACTTCCCCGGAATCATACATTTGACCTCTGCTCTGAGCAAGTCTTAGGGCTGATTTTAAAAGGATTTACCCTGCTCACACTGACTACATGTCCAGTGTCTGGTTGGCCCTTGGTTATTGGTTTCCCACTTTTTTTGACCTCTTAGTAGGGAGATTTTTACTAGTATCTTTGCGCTTGGCCACACCAAGCACTCCAGGGTGGACTCTCGTGCTACTCCATGGAGCACAGTCACTCCCACATCAGCCCAGAGATTCTGAGCAACTCCCAGGATTTATGCTCAGACAGATATGCAAGGCCTGGTTAATGCTTCCATTGTAATTCCAAAAAGTCACAGAAACTTTGAGATGAGGTTTCATCTGTGTTATTATATAGTCTGTTGCCTGGGAAATGCTGCTGATCAGTTGCAAGTAGAGTCTGTCTTTCATTCAACGTATGTTTGAATGCCTACTAGGTGGAAGGTACTGAACTGGGTACCTACCTACCAGATGGTAGATTCATTGGACTCAAGTCAACAAGTACTTCTTGCACTTATCCAGGCTCTACTATCTGTCCATGTTTGGCTACAGGATCAGTGCCAGCATGTGAGGCTCCCG